ATTTATTCGGAATCATACCTTGGTAGTACGGTAGTTCTAGGTAGAGCTTGAACCTTCAAACAAAAGCTTGACTCTGACTCCGAGACAAAGCGAAGCTTCTCTGAGGACTTATTTGAACGGACTGTTCCAACTCAACAGCAGGTGGGAGTTCCGCTTGAAAAATGATCCAGAGACAGGGGGACTTAAGTTTTGGAGTCGTCGTTACTGATGCCAACGGCCAGCCATTGCCCGAGTTTGTCCACGAGGGCGTAACATACATTGTCTGCAGTGCGGGACAGGAGTTCAGGGTGCAAGTGTCATGCAAACCTTTGCAGCACCCCGATCAGACTTTCCAAGCCCGCGTGTATGTTGACGGGAATTGCTGTGGGTATTGTCACGTTCTCGAGCAGCGACATCCGAGCAAAACATACAATGGCTGGTGGCTTGATCACAAAACAAAGAAAGCCTTTGTTTTCAGCGCACCTCCAGCGATGGAAGGGGACTTTCAGGGAGTCGCAAACAGTCCTGAGCTTGGTATGATCAAGGTTGTTTTTGGGGAGACTGAGGAGTTTTCATGTCCCGCGTTGGTAGGAGCCGATTGCTCTCAGTGCAACTTTTTGGGCCATGGAACAAAGACTGTGACACGTACTGCCCCGGAGGAAGCCACATCAGTCAAGCAGGTCAGCCAAAGTACTCCAAGAGTATTCTCAGCATTGCAGGAGGCCATAGGAGGAATAATGCAGCAACAGTGAATGTGGTTGCAACACTTTCTTCCAACATACTACTAGAGTTCTAGCAACTAGAAACAAAGACCATTCGTCTCCTGATCCAAAGGTTGATGAATCCCCAGTGAAAGTCTTTCAGCACGTCTAAGTTTATGAACACAATAAGTGGTGGTTGCCGTATATGCTGTTTGAGCTGCTGGTTTATGAGCAACGCTGTGTTTTGCAGGCTGAAGGGAAGAAATTCTTCCTCCAGCCATCTTTGGGTGCCAAGGCAGGAGCCAGAGTAGACCAGGAGGCCTACACGAGAAGGGATTATCACAACAGAGAAAAGCTTGGTGGCAAGAAATGCACAATGCAGCTGCGCTTTGAAACAGCCCCCATTCTTCAGCTCCGGAAGATCCTGGACCCTTCAAAAGCTGCTCACGTTCAGATTATAGCAGCAAGCTCGAATACCAGGCAACGAGCTGCAGAAAACTCTGTGGCAGGACCGATGCGACAGGTGAGTAGCCTTCGCTTTTTTGCAAATCAAGTGCTGGTATGTTTGTTTGGCCTTCAAATGTTAAACAACCGGATCTGGGCTACCCATACTTTGATGCCCTGGCTCTTAAAGTGGGCGTCGGGTTTCAAAGCTCGGGAAATGCACACTAGTGAGTCTGAGTCTGAGACGGACCAGATCGAAATTACGGCCTTTTTGGGCTCGCTGCACCGTCGATGGTCGGGAGTGGACATGCATGTCCTACGCCCACTTTAAAGATGGGATTACAAACAGGGGCCTTGAACATTTGTAATCAGGTCCTGCTAATATGCTTGAGATGCTGGAAGGCAAGTCAAAGGTCACAAGTGTACTATAATGGAACCACGCGGGGCGCGCATAAAGATTTGGTCAACACAAGTCTCTACTAGCCCAAAGCCAGACAAGCTGGTCTTAATATGGGGCACTAGGGGGGCGCTGCAGGAAAAGGCTCATTGTAGCATCAAACACTTGTCGTTATTCACTTATCACCAAGTCTCAAGGCATCCTGATCAGTATCCTACAATCTTTGAAAGTCTTACAGCCGTCGCGATGACTTTGACAAAGGCTAAGCTCGACCTTGCGCCTGCTTCTGCAATCTCACGTACTTGTTTATCTGCAGGCTGGTGAGAGCAGCACGTCTAACTCTCCTGTACTCAAGAAGGAAGTTGTCAAGAAAGAGAAGAGGCAAGGTCCAAAGTCGACCTTCATTGAGACGGTGGACTTGACAGAAGACGCGGGTGAAGATCAAGATTGTATGATGTACACGGTGGCCAAGCGACCAAAGCTGGAGGGTGTGATGTTACAAATAGATTTACTGTTTACACGACTACAGACCTCCCAGATATACCTTGGACACTAAGCTGCACCATACGACATGGTGCACTGCAAGCGTTGCATCTAGCGACGATGCCTACAAAGCGTCTTCTTGTGATCCTATATTGAGTGGACGACCAGAATCCTATTGTACAAAAACGGTTTCCCAGGGCGGATAAAAGGTAGCTTCAAGTAATCCCCGGCCCAATTCAAAGTTGATGGCAGAATTACGCAGTGTGTCAAGATTCGTTCATAAGACCAGGAAAGTCTTTGTGAAAGCCCGCGCTCAAGAAAGTGGCTTACCGCTGTTGCCGGCAATCAGTCCACACCATGGTTTATACGATACAATCAAAATGATCGACCGGATGTATTGGATGCTGTTTAAAGGCCAGGTCGATTGGACTTATAAGCACATTTGACCTGTCACGCGATAAGAGTTCCGGCGGTACTAGAGCGCGGCTACTTAGTATCAAAGTTCGATCATCATGTGCAATGAAACATAGGCCCATTGCATGAAAGATCAGGAAAAGCGGGGCCCGGGGGCAGTTGCTCCTGGGCCTGGTTTCAAAGGTTCAAGAGGCGGGGCGCAAGAATCATGCATGATCATGTGTCGACGTACCATACTACAAAAGTGTAGTACCTAGTAAGCCGGATCAATCCATTAATTTGGATCATGTTCGCATTCTCTGGCAATATGTGCATGACATGCCGGCCGCCGTAAGCTTGCGTTGTTGATGCGCCATGCTATGCCAGATCTGAGATTTGAGGGAATCATGATAATATTATCTAATGTGAGTAGGTTTGATCTAGCCTATTACTCGATCTCACTGATCTAAAATCGCTTACCCATTTCAATCTATCTGGACTTCATGAATAAACGATATACATGTATGAACGGATTCTCGCAACTTGCGAACTGTGATGCCAGAATTCAGCAATCGCCGGCGCTGAAGTGTGGAATGAACTGAGAGCCTTTGCTCCAACATTTCATCGATGAAAGATGATGCAAGTGAATCGAGACAGTTTGGAAGGAAACGGCACCTCAAGAGCAATTCATGACTCCAACAGATCGTTCTCTCCCTGTTATGATCTATGTACTTGGATCGTCGAAGATTTGAAATCCTGAACCTTCATGCTGTCTGGATACACGTGATCACATAAACTAAGGCGGAAGAATTGGCTATGTACAAAGTATCACCCCCCTGCAACAGATGCAAGCGCTTTGTTAGACAATCATAGATTTGAACATAGCCAGATTGTATCGAATGCGGGCAAGTTATCGTTCAACAAGTTAGCAAGACCAAAGTCTGGCATGCTCAACTTTGACCAGTGTGAATCTACTCTTAGATTGCTGATTTCCTGCCACCTAAAACAAAATTTGCTTTAGATGAGGGGCACATCCAAAGGGCGGTTTGCAGTCCTCTTGAATGATGCGTGAAGAACTGTCATCATGCCAATCCACTTCTCCCCAAACTCTTCTTTCCAGCACCGTATGCTTCTCTGAGTCAGATCAGAAGGTTCTTGTTTTTCCTGATCCTAAAAAGAACAAGCCTCTGGGTCTTGCAAGGCTCTAGACTCTTTGGAGTTGCGATACGATAATCGACGGCGTGGAACAGTTGAAGATTTCTCCACCTAAGACTGCGCACATGCTTTCCGACAATTCTGAGAAGTCTTCTAATCTTACTGTATTTGAAATGAAGATGGAAGTGGACATGAGGTTTCTCACCTTCCCTGTTTCTGATGTCCGCCATTCGGCAGAAGGGCTTCTCAAACACCTTAAGCCAATTGCTTTTATATACAGTCCCAACTTGTGTACCATAGCCACCGGTCAGCTAATATACATACACATCTGCAATGGCTCCCAGCTCTCAAAGTGTTGAGCAGGCTTGAGCACGATTCTATGTAGCTAACACCACCGAAACAACCCCGGGGAAGTTACCCAACCGTCAACAGTCTAATATGGCAACCTGTTGATGCTGTGGCAGACTACAGTAAGAATGCAGACCTACTAGAAGATAGAAAGAAGGGTCTGACTTATGATGGCCTGAATTGTGGCCATGAAACACTAACAGGATCCAACATCGCGCTTGAAGCTAGTTGACTATCTGAAGCTGCTTTCCGTCATTGGCCAAAATGTGCAGGTTTGAGTTCCGTTGGCTTAGCCGTCCCTGGCTGCCGCTTTCTTCGTGCGTCCACCACCTCACTGGCAACAACTGTCAACAGGACTGCATACCCTAAAAGAGTAGCCAGCCCATGCACCGCACCAAACGCAAGCCCCACTAATCTCGCCATGGACTTGCTGAAAGAAGATGCTGCCAGAGCGCGGCTGGAAAGCTGCCACCCCGCTCCCTTGCTAAGTTGCTGCCCGGCCTCCCTTCTGCTGTTCTGCTTCTGAGATCTGTAATGTTCAGTGTAAGAGATCTTGTTGATCGTCTTTGCAAGTTGACTCCTGCTGCTTCACGTATAGATTTATAAGCTGAGCATATTGGACAGGTCACCAGATTCTCAATTCGGGAATATGTCTCTCTTCAAGGATAATATGATTCTCCATTTGTCTGCTTCTGACCAGCAGAGGGTTATGTCTGTGTATTCAATGGTATATCTGATCATTGTCGTATATATGTGTATACAGTATATCCAAACTTTCGGCAAGGCATTTATAAAAGATCTGGGCGGATATCCCGTTCAACAAATCCTAGATCCACTCTGACTGTGAAGAACGGTCTTGAAGACACGTACCGGTCTTCGTGCAATGGAGAAATGAGGGCGCCTTCACTGCTTCAGGCTTCACTCAACTTCAAGCCTCAAGGTTGACAGGCTTCAGAAAATATAGAAGGATTACAATTCCAAGAATTTTCTTTGGGGCCGCATTTGGGGAGACGAGCTACGGGGCATTCTTACATCGGGGGGAACAAGCATGAATGTGGGTCAGGGTAAACGAGCACAGCCTTCGGCAAGGACGGAAGCCGCCGGCTCATTCAGCATCTCCTGTCTAGGTTCTGACCTGCTCAGCAAGGTTTTCATCAAGCTAGGCTCCAGCCCCAAAGATCTGGCAGCCGTGTCTGTCATCTGCAAAGATTGGAGGACCATTACAGAGACAATCACCTGGAGGGACCTGTGCTTCCGGTCCGCTGGCGGCCTGTGTGAAGAGCTTGGGTATGGAGACCATGGACTTCCTCCAGGGGGCTGGCGGGGGCTGTTCAAATTGATAACTTATTGCCCAGGGCTGCACCCCAGCCTGACAGAGGAACTCAAGCAGACTCTGATTCAGTTCCGCATCTCAAATCTGGGACATGTAGAATGGAGTCCAAAAGGATTTTGGACAGGTCCAAGTGTGATGAAGGTTTTGCAATTCAAGGAGCACTTTCAAAGTGACCAGGTCTTTGTTTCGGTGCGGTGTGCGCATGACGCTGCTGGCATTTTCAACGCCGAGGTTGAGTTCCGGGAGTATGGGTGCAGGGGGATCATCAAAGACTTTGCATCTTCCAGAATCCGCGCTGCACTTAGCGAGGTGAATGCTTTTGGGGGAGATGCTGTAGGTGCAGGCTTGCCCAGCCGCTGTCCGTATTGCCAGGGTGCGACGGCTGTGCTTGATGCGGCCAAGTTCTTCAAAGTCCCCACCTCGTACAAGTCCGTTCTCAAATACATTGATCGCCAGTACAATGACTTCGACGAACTGCTGGGGACCTGGCCATGTCAAGTGTCCAGCACGGACTCGTCGGACGACGAAGAGGTGGACGATTGGGGGGATCCAATCGACTACCACAGCGTCAAGATAGTGAGGGAGGAGGTAGAGGAGCTAGAAGACGCCTACACATTTGGGCGTGTCTGTGAAGGGGGACACCTTCTCCTTGCTTTTGTATCAATTGAGGGGGTTGAGGAGGAGTGGGACGGCGCTTGTGCCCATGGCACTGGGGAGAACTTGGCCATTGAAGCGTTTCCACTCATCCGTATGTTGTACGGCCACCTTGTCGTCAAGGAACGGAGCATCAAACGGGGGTTCAAGGCTGTTGCTGGCTTGGTAGAGACGGATGTGTTTGCTGCCGCTTCGAGGGCTGCTGCACTTGCTCAATCCTGGAGTCGAACCACTGAAGCTCAAGCTGTGCCTATGCAGCGCTCGGTCCTTCAAGAGCTTGATGAGATGACAAAGTTCGCTTCAGACGGCACACGAAAGTCAGTGTTGAGGTTTCTCAAATTTGGACAACCCAGTCTGGAGGAGTGCATACATGTGACTTCAGAGGGGATCAAGGCTTGGCGTAGGGCATAAGTCCTACTTTGATGCTCTTCAATGACAGAGGAAGAGGAGAGCAATGCTTCTAGCTAGGCTTCTATTCGCTTTTCAGGCTTGCCTGTTAATATGGGTTTTGGTTGCACTCATTGATTAGCACCCAAGGTGCCGGTTGACAGGGTGTAACGTAACGTGTAGGACATGTGCATATACCTTCACTACATGATTTGATCAATGGTCACCTCGTTTTCAATACTAAACCAGGATCACTGTTGCAAGTGTGCAACTTGCTGAGTAATCCGACGCATGATGTAACATGCAAGCCTGAAGGTTCTGTGTGAATGTCAAGGACAATTAGCCTCTCATGCACGTATCTTCATGTGGCCGGGCATGAGTGGCACCGCATGTACTGATTCGGCATGTCGTGCGCACGTTAAGAATGTGGCAGTGGCGCGGCGGCATTTGAATTCGAATGATGTGGCGCGATGATTCTGTAAATATAACTAGATAGCGCTAGCTGCGGTGATTGAAGGCGCCTTGCATGCATGCCCATACGTTGAAATTAAGTCTGATCGACAGTCCAGCTCTGCGCTGAGCTAGCAACCGGACTTCAAGATCCAAAGGCTCTATGCTCGCTGCCAACCAACATAGAGACTTGCGACACGCCACTCCGACGCATGCACACTAGGTGACATGGGCCAGCTAGACCAGTACTGACATCACGCACTGCATAGCTAGTTTGTTTGAACCGCTGGTACGGTGATGATTAGAACCGTGTAATAAGCATTGGACGGCCCACAATGCTCTTTTCAATTGAATCAGATCGACATGCGAGGGATGGTCGTCCAACAAAGGTTCATTGATGTGATCCCGAACAATCGAGTTTCAAAATGTATGGCTCTACGGCCACAACTCCAGTGAGGACCCGTATGCAGTCTAATGGATAGAATGTATGAGTGCTAGAGAAACTTTCCCAAGGATCGCTGTTGCACAAACTGCTGGCACACCAACTATGAAGTTCCAACCAGCTCCTCAAGTACCTGTCGTCCGTAGACACTCAACAATAGCTTCACTACCTTCAACATCCTTTGAAACGTGCCAACGAAGGCCCAGCATTAGCCTAAAAGATCGTACACGATCAGGTCGACGATAAATGCGTGGACCGCTACCTTCGACCCCCATTTTGCACACTAGCCAAAACGCCCTTTACGCGCTCGGTGCCCACTCGCAGATATCCCAGGACAAAGTACCAAACGCGAAGAAGCGTCTCCCATGCAAGGAGCAGCAAGCGCTCCACGCGTGCCCACACTCTTTCCACAGTCGTCCGCACCTTGTCTTGGACGTCCGACGGGACAGTCTGCCGCACCTTTTCCGGCACGTCACGCACAAACTCCGACCCGGCAGCTGCCACGTGCCCGGTTTTCTCCCGGAGGGAGTCCATGACGTCGCCGCCGTCGCTCCTCACTCTCCTGCTCAACCTTGCCACGTGTCCTTTCGCCGCGTCCATGTGCGCACTCGCTACTCTCACTGCGTGCTTCAGCGGGTTCCTCGCCCTCTCATCCGCCAACTCCATCCTCTCGTCGAATAAGTCAACCAGGGGCTTTCCGTTCGTAAGAGCGGAATCCGGTCTCTGCTCAGACTCAGATTCCCGTCCGTTCGTATTCGTGCTCTGAAGCACCTCCCGGACCCCCTCTAAGCCCTCGACTGCCGCCCGCGCCTTTCTGATCTCCGCCCCGATGTGCAGCTCCGCCTCTGACGTCACTGCCTCAATCGCGACCCGCTGATCCTCGAGCTTCTGGAGCTCCGCTTGCAGCGCGTTCCGTTCCGTTTCCGAAACGGAACGGCCGGAAGACAGCTCCAGGATGATGGAACGCGCCTGCTCCACCGACTGGGCGAGCTGCGCACTTTCCGCGCGGATTGCGTCGCGGTGCGCGTTCAGCTCCTGCGAGGAGAAAGTAGTCCGGCTTACATCCTTCGCTTGCATTCGCCATGGAGGAGGTGAAATTGGTGGCACAAACGGAAAGCCCTCGGTTCTTTGTTCTGCAATCCTGCTCACCTGAAATGACCGCTTCGACTGTTGCTGCTCGTTCCTCAGAGAAGAAATGACTTCGGCTTACATCCACTCTTAATCTTTGCCAGGGAGGAGGTGCTATCCGGCGGCACAATCGAAAAGCCCTGGGCAAGTTGTGATTGCATGTCCCGCTAACCTGAATGATCTTCTTCGACTGCGATGCTCGTCCGTGCTAGCGTCCCTCATGAACCTTCCTCCCCTTTCCTCTTGCCTCCACCAACTCAGAACAGCAAGCTTCATCGATTCATACCACCAATTCCTGTCAACCTAATTGCTTCTTACATGTTCCTCTCCACAGGCCGCGACCGCCTTGAGTCATCTGTAAGATCAATGGACATCATACAAAATGGCCTCACCTTGATAGCTTCTTCTACCATTGTCGTTGTCTGTGCCAGCGCCCTCTTACCCTCCTCTATGTGCTTCACAATCTCCTCGTAACGTGCCGCCACAATCTCAAGTGCTTACATGAAGCTCCATATCACTTCGCCGAATCTCCTCACCTTGATTGCTTCGTCGACCGTCGTCCTCGTCTCTGCCAGCGCCCCCTTGTCCGCCTCTAGTTGCTTTACAATCTCCTCCCCACGCGCGGCGACCGCCTCGATGATCTCCCGCTGCTCGCGCGCTTCCTCCCGAAACACCTCGTCCGCAGCCCGGTACGATTCCATTTCGGACACGCGCTCGGACACTGTTTCGGATGCGGAGCCGGCCGCGAGCGCCGCCGCGGCTTGCGCTACGGAGACGGGCTTGTGAGGCTGGAAGCGGAGCGTGTAGCCTGCGAAAGAGGTCAAGAAAAATATTGGAAAAGGAGTATGATATGTTTGTTCGCGCAAATCGAGGCTCTGAGATCCGAAAGAATCAAAGATGAACAGAAGAAAAGTGGTAGACCTGAAAACCGAAACGCGTACTTTATAAAAGTAAGCATGTTCAAAAGCTAAAATACGAGCGCCGCCGCAACTTGCACGACAGACACGGGCTTGTGGACTGGATGCGGAGCGTGTAGCCTGGAACATGTCAGGAGAGAAATGAGGAACAGAGATTTGGAAAGGTTGTTACGGCGTTCGCAAAGGCCGAGGTCGAGAAAGCTTGCATGAAGGCAGAAAAAGTGGTAGACACCAAGCAGGAAAAGGATCCAGCAGCGTGCCGGTTAGAGCAGAGTTTGCGAAATGGAGGCGAGCTTGTGGGGCTGGAAGCGCAGCGTGTAGCCTGGGAACACATCGAAGAGTTTACAGGAAGAAGAGCGTCGCTGAAAGACCGCATCGAGATCCAAGAAAGACGAGAAACAGGTGGCGTCTTACCGAAGGCACGAGCAATCACGCTCTGGTCCCCCGCTTGGAAGTCGGCGATCATGGCGGGAAGAGTAGCGGGGTGGACGAGCTCCGCGTCCAAAAAGCCCCACGACTCGAGTACCGCCTGCAAAGCGAAGAAGCACAGGAATATAAGGTTTGTTGGCAGTTGACAGCTTTAATCTGCGAGATGCATCTGCTACTCACTACACTGGTGTTTGTTTTCTGAGGCCCTAAGGGCTTTGCTAGGATTCTGCCAAGTGAATAACGAATTCAGCCGCCAATCCTACCTTCCATACTCCTGCTGGTAGTATGTGACGTTGACACAAATCTTGATACAGACTTTTTATCCGCGCTGGCCATGTCAAAGCTAGCGAATATCGAATCGGTAGAGGGGGCGAAAGCACAGCTTTGCCTCAATAAGAATTTGCGCAGTAACCAGACCGAGATCCCAGGAGAGACAAAGTCTCTGCCGACTTGGAGGACTGGAATTCTCCAACTAGCGGATCGGCGCACAGGGGTTAAACAGATCCACAAGCAATAAAATGGCGGCGCAGGAGATGAAGGCAAACCGGACCGTCAACACGAGTTTCTTGATAGAAAAAGCTGATCATGTTTTCTAGGACCCTTCTATCAAGATAGGGCAGACTCTTTCCGCTCAACTCCTTTCGTTTCCGTTTCGATGACAATCACCTCACTTGCTTATCCGGATGTCTGCGACCTAACACACGGCAACGTCGCAAGTCGGGCCTCACCGTTTTGGGATCCGCTTCCGTCGGCAGGCGCCGCCGGTCGAGGGCCATCTTCCAGCGGACCAAGTCCTGCCGGGTCAACGGCCTGTACGGAATAACAGAATGCAACTTAAACCAAAGACCTCGATAAAAGAGTAGGAAAATATGAAAGATCTGAATAAACCAAAATAGATCAAGCTCCCTTCAATGTCTGCGATCAGTAAGATAGGTATCATGATAAACACGGCAAGTTCTCAACTCTCCGTTTCAGGAAAAAGGGCAGTCAGGATGCGACCAGAAGACTCCAAGGATTGCAAGCTTCGGGGTGAAACACTTTGCTCTGCATGAATGCCGCCGACGCAAGTAACTCTCGCTACTACTTAACTGCGTTCGAGCCCCGTCCTTTCCCCATTCCTCGACGAAAACAGTTATTAGTTGGGAAAGTTTGCCAAGGGGAATCTGCGAGGATGAGCAAGTTCTGTGGTGACCCTATGCAAGCGAGTTCTCTACACCCCTACAGATCAAGTACGGCCGGGCAAAACTTACGCGTCGGGGTGAAACTGGCCGTCACTGGAGGCTGCGGAGCCGTGAGACAACCGGCTGGGGATGATGCCAGCTTCCGCAAGGCCTGCAGGAAAGCAAACAGGAGGGGCTCGTTCTTAGTTTGAAAGGAACAGAGAGTTTTTGGTGGTTAAGCATCGTCGGTTACAGGCTTGAAGCTGGTTCTGAAACAACAAACAGACTCGGCTGGTAATCACAATGTCAAGAGCCCGGGTCGTTCGTCCGATTACCAGAGTCAAGGCTGGTATTCCCAAAAGCTGCACCAGAGGTGGGCTGTACATAAGATAGATGAAGACTTTCAATTCCTGCTTTGAGAAGCGTGATGCTGTGACCGGGCGCTCAAACAGAAGCTCCGTGTTTATCTTCTGAAGAACAGAAATAATCTGAGCGCTTTATAAAAGTGGAATCATGATGGCAACTGGGGCATGCCCAGTGGCAGTGTAAGAGAGAGGCAACAGCCAAACGAAACAGTCTGTAAGCGAAAACCGCAACGAACCTTGGATGGCAGCAAAGTCCTCATCGTCAAAAGTGACGTCATCGAAGGCAGTATCAGTGACGCCCTCGCTCGGGACCGGGTGTACTCCCGGGGTTCTGCATATGGGCGAAAGAAAAGATCATCTTTCAGTTTCTCGATCCAGTTCGACAACACAAGTTTCTTGCTACAGCAGTCGATTGTCCATTCTTCTCAGAAAAGGGATCGGAAGAGACAAGAAATAGTCCTATGGTCTCCTTGCTGACCGTTCCGTCCTCTTGTGCACCCTTGTGGTCCGAATCCTATCCTGCTGGGTTTCGGCATTGAAAAGATAAGACAAGACGCACAAGAACCGACCGTTATAGTAGAGACGAGATATCAGCAAAAGGACATGGCAAAGTTATACATTAAACTCTCAGTCGCCCGAACAGGCGTCTCAAGGGCAGCTGTACTCAAAGACGAAAGACGGCGCGCAAGTCTCTACTCCTCATCTTATCAGACACTGGACTTGTCAACATCGCAAGCACAAGCAAATCTGTGCAAAGATTGGCGTTTCCGAGCAGAAAATGAGTGTCTGGTTGAAAGAGACTGTTCCAAGCTAGAGATGCTTACCCTGTCAAGACGCTGCTTCCAGACAACAGCCACCTCGCAAAATCCCTCCGGCTACAGACGGCCGTTGGCTGGACGTCGGGTTCCACCACCTGCATCCGAACCAGATTCGATAAGCCTCGTTCCGAAGCGAGTTTACTTCACATTTCTCGAGCGTGTAGACACAACCTCAACGTCTCCATGCTCTCTGGCGATTTTCCGTTTGGCCATCAGCGAAAGGCCGACTTAGCCCACACAGAATGACCTTTCAGGAATCCGGTTGTGATCAGTGGCGAGCGAGCGGCTGGTTCAAAACAGATTTTCTTCCGGATTCGGTCTGCCAAATCTTCCCTTTGCACTTAATTTCCACATGAAATGAAGCAGAAAGTTACGGGTTGGAGATGTTGAACTGAGCCAGAAAGTCGATCGAGCTTGATCAACCTTGTGCTAGAATCCGGCTTCACAACCTTGCCAGTTCGTGACGTATTAAGGATTTCCAGAGTCCGCCATGCGCCACACATCGGAAAGACCATAACTTGGATTGCAAAGTGGTCCAAAAAGCGAACGCGCACTCACGCTGAGTTTCTGGAGCGCTTGGAGGGCCTGCAGCTGAGCCTTGTCGACATAAGCGGACGGCTTCAGATCGCCGGCAGGCCGCTTACTAGAGGCGCTGACGTCACTTTTCCCCGCCCCACTTTTTTGCTTAGCGTACCAGTCTTGGAACGATTCCCCCCCCGCTCGCGGCCGGCTCACCCCTTGCAGGGGGTTCGTTGGCAGTGGCACCTTCCCCCCCTGCAAGGGAAGGACGGCGCTCGTCATCTTGGGCAGGGGTTGCTTCCTCAGTAGAAGAGAGAGACGGCGTGGGGCTCGGCAGGGGGGGCAGAGCCAGAGCCTTCGTGACCCCCCCTTCCTGCTCTACGTGGCCTGGCTCCCCCCCCAAAAGTTTCACCGCTGACTTTATTCCCTCTTGGGGGCTATCCCGCGCTTCGCTGGCCTGACCATCATTCCCCCCCTCAGGAAGCAACTGGTTCTTTTCGCCCCCTTCTCGAGTCTCCCCCGTTTCCAGCTTTGAAGCAGCTTTCTCCTCAGAGACCCCTTCCCTTTCCGCGGAAACTCCCTCCCCCTTCTCAGACACGCTTTCGCCTGGAGTAGCATCTTCCCCTCGATCTAGATCCACCAGCTCCTTGGAGCGCAGCATATCCGCCGCCGCTCTTAAGATTCCTGCCGGCACCGCCCCCTTATTCTCTTCCACGGCGGTCGGCGAGCCCCCCCCCATCAGCGCAGGGGATGAAGGAGGCGCCCTACGTCCGTCTCCCCCCCTCAGAACAACTACATTCACAGCAGGCTCAAGCACAACCGGGGCTGGCTCGTTTTCCCTCAATCTAGTTGCAGCCCCCTCAGGCTTTTCCACTTGGCGCTGTTGAGCTGCATCATCATGCACCGACTGGACTGTGGGTTGAGCTGCCTCCTCATGCGCTGGCTGAACTGCGGGTTTCTCAGACGGGCGCTCTGCTTCTATGGTGTCTGTTGCACCGATGGGGGATATCAGGATGTCTGGCTTCTCGATCAGGCTTTGCCGTGCACTGTCCTGGAGTGTTTTCTTCGTTTCCGCTTCCGAAACCGCAGAGCTTTCCAGGTGCGCGTCTCCACTATGATCGACAGGCTTGCTTTCGCCTTCCCCACCATCCTTCTCACCCGTGTTACCCTGCTGCCTTGCAACATCCTCCATCTCCAAACCCTTCTTTTCTTTCCCACCACCAACTTCTTCCATCTCTGCACCCTTCTTTCCCTCCTCAGCATTACCGTCCCCCTTCTTATCCAAACCAGGAACCAGAGCCGAGACCTCCTCGACAACTGACTTCCCGATACCACTGCTTTCATCCTTCTTTTCTGACTGAGCATTTTCAACTGGTCCTTTTGCACCCTCCTTTGGTGTCTCAGTGCTTTTATCTGCCTTCTTATGCTTGAAGCCAGGAACCAAAGAAGCGACGCTCTTGAAAACCGACTTCCCAAACCCGCCGCTTTCGTCCTTCTTCTCTGACTGAGCACTTTCAACTGGTTCAGCACGTGCCGTGTCAGCCATCGTCTCTCTGTGCACTGAGGACAAAGAAGCAGTAGGTCCCTGCGTACCCTGCGGCTCAGCTTCCGTCCTGGATTTCTCCGCCGCGCCTAGTTCCTCGGGCTTCGCCCCGTGGTGCGGCTTGTGGACGGAGAACGGCAGCCGCGGGAGCCCCGGAACTGCAGCATTTGCAAAGAAAGCTGGCTAAAAATTTACAGTCCTCTTTGTCTTAGAAGCAAGTATGTTGAAAATGTCTGTACTACGTACAACACCGGAATCGGCGCATGCATGCTACCTTTGAAAAGGAATCGACACGCCAAAATTTGAGGTGAACGTGTTTCAGATCCATTGGGCTTCTTTGATTTGCAAGTAAGTCACCTTTAAGCAGGAGACACTGATAAAATGCCATGCAAACAAACATGCAAGGAAACCACACTCACAGAGATTCCTGATTCTGGCAGAGCAATTTTGAGATCCACATGGTCCGGATGTTCAGCAGATCTTGGATGTCATTTGAGGATCTCCAGGTTCATCAATAGCGGACCATAGATAGAAACAACAGAACACAACAGGACACACAATCTGCAGGGTGTTTCCGGTGATCGCCGATTCCTTTTGTTTGGGGATCAATCGCACAGATGTGCAAGATCGGCTCATGAAGATTCCTCGTATATCACTTGTCTCACCCAGTAAACAACGACCAGAAAAGCACCTGCGCTCCTTAGAGATCTAATTGTCACAAGTGCATCAGTCGAAGTTGCTCATGTTGTGACCTGCTACTGTTCCTAAAAGGTCAAAAGGGTCCGACTTTCCTCACCCCTGTGCTGTACCCTGCTCCAGCCTTGCAGAAAGAGAACGATCGCCAGAACGAGCCCCCCCGCAGTCAGTCCCACAACTGCAGAGCAGAAAGCAATGAATGAACATTGAAGACAGCACATAATCCGAAATCTTTCCGATATCAAGGACGTCCAAAGGTCTGAATCTGGTGGACTCGCCAATTAACAACCACAAACAATCCATGAAGATCGTGAGCATATCAATGATCAGTCTTGAAAAAATGTAACCCCGCGCTTTCCACCACTCCTTGCTCAGGCGATTAACCCCTAAAATGCTTATCAGACTGCAGTTCTGAGAACACTCAGGAGCCAGAACACATCAAACCAGGCAATGTTACGTCTGCAAGCGCAAACTCCAAGATTCCTACTGCATTTCCATATGGCAGGTTTCCTCCCGTTTATATCATTTACCACCATTATAAAGTAATGCCTCATAGGAAGCGGAGAGACTTTCACAGGGCCAAGCAGTCAGTCCCTACAAGCTGATAAACACAAGCTTGAAGCAGCAGACATGCGCTGTGACATCACAAAAGCACTGGGGCTGCATTTCAAAAGATCACATTCGAGTACTGTCCTTTATGGAGCTAAATCGAACCTCCGCCAACTAGTGTTCTCAGCAGGCCGACTAGTGTTCTCAGAGGGCCTCTCCATACCACTTGTTGTCATCGCTGTGATGATCACACCACAGTACCACCAACTATTGTCTCAAAAGATCACTTTAAGGCGATAGTTGTAATAACACCATCTTATGAGAGACATCCACCCGTTGCTCTCAACTCATCACTTGTTATTACTTGTTATCGCCGAGTGTTGCTCACCTGCTTATTCACTCATCACCTGATCATCAACTCACTTTATCAATCATTGATGTTGCTCACCTGCAACTAGAGGGAGCTCCCGCTCTTTCTCTTGAACCACCGGTAACCACTTCGTAAACGCCTCCTCTTCTGCGGCCTCGTGAAACCAGTCTGACGCTTTCGCCAACCTGCCCTGGTGTGCGACTCCGCTCTTTTGGGCAACCTTCTCCACCGTACTGGCTCCATTGACGCCATTTGTGGCAGTGTCTGTCTGACCACTCTTAGCAACAGGTTCCTGTGCACTGGTGCAATCGACACCACCATTCGGAGACCCAGTTGCACTCTTTCCTGCGGCAGGAGCACTCTCTTGCAAACCGCTGTCACCAGCAGATGCATGCACGCACAAACGCTTCTCTCGTTTGCTGTGCATGCAGCGTCCCCCGCCTCTGAGGCCATTGAGTTTTGCAGCATTTGTCAGTCCAACTGCAGGAAGGTGCATAGCAGCCCCCACTTGGCTGCATGGAGCGCGCCTGATGGGAAGATGGGGACCTGAAATGACTGTCGCACTCCTCCCCACAGAGTCCACTGCTGCATGCACGCGCCAGGTTGCTCTGCACCTGCAAGCCACCGCGCCCGACATCTTGCTCCACGCAAAGAGGCACGAAAGGTAGATCCTCTGCGTTCAGGGCGGCTGTCTTGTTTCCTTCAAAGCGCTTACACAGGATCGAGAGACCATAAATGTGACATCTTGAAGGGTGGCGATCAGAAGTGAACGGTGGCAAGAGCCAAACCGGTAGTCTGACTCTAAGAAATGCAGCCATAAATTGGTCACGTATGATTTTCCGGAGAAGTGACGAGTTATTAGGGTTTTAGGGTTTGGCATTGTGACAGACTAACTATCAAGGTTTGCGCAGGGGGTTGGCCCAAGGTTAAGCAAACCCTATGCAGGAACTGCCATGGCGGTCACATAGGTAATTCCACCTTGAAATTGCTGCATTTCCAGTACCTACTTCAACTTCAAGATCAACTTCAAGGACGTCAAGAGGCAAATCAAAGAAAGCAGAGCTGCAGACAGGCTGCAGACACAGCTCTGGCCGGATGGCTGCAGATCGGCTGCTGGCGTGTTCCTCTTGGGCTTCTCAGGGATCCAGCAGGCACGTTGCTCGGTCCTTGCAAAAGGGTGCGCCAATGCAGGCCGCCCAAAGATCGCAGGCACGTGTTTGACCATTAGCTCTTTGTGCGTCATGTGTCTCTGTTGAAGAGAGCGAGTTACGCCTTCTCTTTCCGGGTGCTTCATACACATCTAGGAATAGCGCCTGCCGACACTTCCCACGGAAGGACTCTCCGGATGCGGTGGAAGACAAAACTCTGGCACATTTTCCCCCACCACAATGCAGACCATCTCCCAGCAGCTGGTCTACTCCGCTGAGCTTCTGGATGCTGCGAATCAACCACTACCCAAAATCCAACACCAGGGAACAACATACATCATTGGCCACCCAGGGGAGGTCTTTCGCATCCGAGCACGCGTGCGTTTCCGCAACTCGTCGTCGCTAGCCCGCCCCAACAAGCCCCAGTTCAAAGTCTTTGCCAAAGTAGACGGCCAGTCTGTCGGGTACACTAAGCTCTGCTACGTTGCGGATAACATCTCAGGGGTTGAGGAAGGGGCCAGCGAGAGCGTGTGTTTCAGGGGGAAGGCGCACGGGGACCACCACAAGAGCCTATTCACATTCGCGGTGCCGGAAACTCGGCACAGAAACGAACCAGGCACGCGCGTGCTGCCTTTTGCCGATTCTGAAATGGGGACAATTGTAGTGCGCTTTAGGGAGGTCGGGGGGTGGTCTCTTGGCCCTTTAGGGGGGCCAGAATCAGGCTCCGGCAAGGGGGGGGCCGAAGAAGAGAGCTCTCAGGGGGGGCAATCAAAGGGCGT